AGCTTAAGCTCCTCCTCCTCCTGCAGCCACCTGCGGTAGCTTAAGCTCCTCCTCCTCCTGCAGCCACCTGCGGTAGCTTAAGCTCCTCCTCCTCCAGGGTCCCAGTCATCCTACTACTCCACTCTTCTTTGTCGGCTCTCTACAGCGACTGTTCAACTAGCAAGACCCGCAGTTTCTGACTAATTTCATTCTTTTCCCCCAAACGCTGTTGTGGCACTGGTAACCCTGATCCCTGCCCCGCCCCAGCTCCAGTTGCTGACCTTAAAGAACTTATCAATTTTGCTAAGGTTGATTCTCTTCTTGGCATCCAGTTTGTAAATGTTACTGACATTTCCATCCATCAGATAGAGGCCGAAGCCCATCACCTAGAAGGAGAAGGGACAGAACTCGGAAACCACTCCCAGCCACTGGACGCTTAAAAAACCCAGCAGGTCCATGATGTGAACACACACGCACGCACGCACGCACACGCACACCCCAGACATACACATTCATTACAAAAACTCAAATGTCTTCAAATAAAGGCAAGAAAGATGGGCCTAAGTTTAAGCTGAAGTGCAGTACATAATGGCAAATGTAGCTTCTGGGCCCTTATGGATGGTCCAGTCTATCTGAGGGCTTTAACAGGCGCCATTGTTAGCAACAATTCATTCTTATCACGGCACTGTTCTCAGCCAAGCTCCACACCACAGCCAAGGAGTCACAGAAATGGCGAGCCATGTGCAGAGCACGTCCGGCTCTGTGGGAAGAGCACGCACATTTGGGTCCCTCCCGCCGGATGTCCTTGGGGTGTGCCTGGCCTCGACAGGCAACTGTCAGCAAGTGGCTGATGTATAAGTGGCCACCTCTTTCCCTAAGGAGACAATAATGTGAATGTCCCCTAGGAGCCCACAGAGGCCACTGTTTTTAAAAGAAAACAGTTGGCCGAAAAATCCCCTAGAGGAGTTAACTTGCTTGGTATTTCAGTCCATTCAATAGCCCCCTGAATCCTAGCTCATGCGGCTCCTGGGTCACACACACAGCTGAAGGACATGACCAGTTGTGGGGATGTGGGAGTCACCCTTCGCTGAGCCTCTACGTCATTCAGTACCTAAGATGGGAAGATAAAGGTCCCTTCCCGCTTGAGCGCCTTGTGTTTGACCCGACCAACAAGCGTCTTGGTGGATGGTGCCCCCTGGTGGTGACTCAGTTCATTACCACAAACTGCATGCGAGCCCAGGAGGAGCAAAAGGGCTGTAGGCCAGATTGAGCAGGGTGGAGAACTGAGGGAAGTAGACTAGGAAGCCAACGTACAGGGGGATTAAAGGCAGGAGGGAAACAGGAGGTCTGGAAAATCTGAAGGCAGTAGGGAAACCTGCTTAGGAGGCAGTTTTTTCACCTAGCTCAAGGCTGCAGGGTTGCCTGGTGTGGTAGATGAGGTGCCTGAACTTTGGTGACCTCTCTGGGTTTATGACGACTGAGAGAAGGCAGGGCCACACTGCCCTGTGCTGAGGTCTGAGTACATCTGGCCACTTGGCACACGTGGAAGTTTAATCCTTACAGCCACTTGGTAACGATATTAGGAAGGCGAAACCTTCACCCAGCCATGGTATACAGAGGTAGGGTCTTCACCAGGTGATTGGATGAGGCCATTATGAGAGAGGCCCCTGAATGCATCCTGGTGGCTCTGTGGGGGGAAAGAGTCCACTGAGACACACACACATCAACGTGTCCCTGCCAGGGTGCAGAGTAAGCAAAGGGACCTTGCCAGAGACGGCACCATGCTGTTCGGACTGCCAGCTCAGTAACCTCCTTTGCTTTAGAAAGTCTGTCTCTGGCATTTTGTTATAGTAATGAACTAGGGGATGATACGCCCTATCGACTTAGTCAAGCTGCTAGAAATCTAAAGACAGGAGCAACAACCCAGACTAGGGGTACTTAGAAGAGTACGAGTGACATGAAGGAGCAGAGCAGAGAAAACCCCCGAGGGATGGGGCTCTGGGGAAGAAAGAATCCGAACGTAAGACACGGCAGTGTGGGGAAAGGACGTGGGGACTGCTGGCCGTGCCAGGGAGAAGTCGGAATCACTGAGCATCCGACGATGGAGCGGCCGTTCGAGAACCAAAGACTCATCTTTACGGCGCTCACAGCCACATCGCTTTCCAAATACACTTCACGACACGGGATACAAATTCTACATGCTTGTGTGCAGTGGACATGTGGACAACACAGAAAACAAAAAAGTTAGAACGACTTACTTCACATTTTAGTGCCACCTCTGGGTGGGAAGAGTAGGGAAAGGTTCAGTGTTTGACGCTTTTCCACGTATTCCAGATTTCCCCATTAATAAATATGACTACTGAAATAATGCGGCCCCTTTGGACAAGCTAGAGCAGAGGGCTGAGGACTCCGCCTCCCTCGGAGGCAGCAATCTCGCCTCTCTGAGTCCCAGCCGGATAAAAGACGCATACAAAAGCGATGGGATAAGGGGCTTAAACACAGCTTGGCAAACTGTTATCCTGCTATAAGGGATGCGGGAAATAAAAGCATCCTCGTACATGGGAGTACTTGGCAGCCATTAAAAATTGTACTTTGAAATAGTCTTGGGACTTCAGAAAGACAGACATGGCGTGTCGAAGCCAAGGAGGAGGTCACAAGCCATGATGGGCAGTAAGCCCTGTATCACTGTTTAAGAGAAGAGAAATTCCTTTATTTATAAATGGCTCTACAGGGAAGGAGACAGAAGGGCAGCCTCACCTTCAGGAGCATGTGCTTCTCGCTGGGTGTCAGGTACATCCTGTTCTCGTAGTAATCCACGCAGATGTTCACAATGTCAGCCAACAGCTCCTCGTAGCCAGGGACCACCTCCAGTTGCTGGTGGAGACACTGCACAGGAGCGGCACCTCGGGTGAGGGTGAGCCGGCCTCCTCCTGCTTCTCCCTGCTGCCCCTCATGCCCGTGGCTGGCCTCAAGCCCGAGCACGCATTTCCCTCGGACAGGAGTCCTGGCAGCCCAGGCAGGGCAGCCAGCACCTGTTTCCCGGCCTCCCACCAATGCCACCACCGCGCTCCGTTGGTGAGGGCTCTTGCACGTCTCCCATGGCAAGGAACAGACTCCTTGGGGCCCTCTACAGTGATCTGTGGCACTTGTGACAGTAAGAAAGTGCTGTCTGGGGCTGGGCTTGGAAGCAAGCAGCTCAGCTTGAGCTGCAGCAACTTCAGGTGTGCTGTGGGGGTGTGGAGGATGGCAGAGGAACCATCCAGGGCAAGACAACTGGGCGGGCAGGGAGCTCCTCCTAGCGGGGCACAGCAGTACAGAAATCTCCTGCAGAGAAAGCTCTGGAGTCCCCACCCTAGTTCTGTCTCTCCAAAGTGACAAGCTGAGACCCTAAATGGAGGACACTGATGGGCTCTCAATAGCGTCCCTGGACACTGGGCAGAATTCAGCAGAGACCAGAGTGGCAAGGGCTTTGGTGGTCCTGGGTCTTAGTGACAATCTGGGCTGAAAACCCTCAGGGGAGACACACGGCCCCTGGAGATGAGCTCTCGGGGCTGGCCTGGCCCCTGCATGCACTCCTGTTGGTGTCTGTTTAGGGTGACTCAAAGGCCGTGGGAGGAGTCGAGCTGTGCAGGGCACAGTTCAGCGACAGCTGGGTGAGTGCACCTGGCAAGCGGCAGCAAGGAGCACAGCTTTGTCTTCTTATGCCTTGATCAAGTGCAGATGTCTTTTGTGTTCTGGGTTTTTAAATTTTTTTTTTTTATTTCTGATAATAGTCCTATGAGATGGATCCTCATCCAAACAACAGACCCATTGGAAATGGAGGCTTTGACTTTGCTTTAGGTGCCACGTGGATCCTACGGTAGCCCAGCTCTCCATCTACACAAGATGCTGGGCCACAGACTTGGCTGAGAGGCTTCTGGGGTTCCAACCTCTGCAACCTCTGTTCCAACCTCTGTGCACAGGCCTCTGCAGCCAGGAAGGAGCTTCCTGGTCCTCCTGAGGAGGGCAGTGGAGGTGGAAGGCTCAGCATGAGCTCATACGCATGGGCACAAGGGCTCTCTGCCTGGGCCTAGATGCCCAGCAGGACCCACAGGAGTCTGCCCACCTGGGTGATCCTGTTGTGGTTTGCCAGGAACATGGAGAGGTTCTGCGACTCCTGGATGGACTGCGGGTCTGCCATCTTCCGGAGGAACTGGGCTGCCCTGGAAGGCAGAGAGTGGGCCCTTCAGCAGGGACGGGCCAGGCACAGCTAACCTAAGCCAGGCTGCAAGGCATCCTGCCCCCACTGGCTCCAAGGGACCTCATCCCTGAGGTTCATGAGCTCCCTCTCAGGTGAACGGAAAGCATGTTTCAGAGCTAGGGGAGCTGCTTACGCCCCAACAGAGTCCTGCAATGCAAAGGCAAGAACACACCCCAAGTCTCTGAAAGCTTGGAAAGCTTAACAGGCCGCAGCGTTCATCAGCCAGGCAGCAGTGCTGAGACGGGGTGGAGTGAGTGTCCCAGGGCTCACCACGACCTCCCGTGCAGCTGCACATGAGTCCGGGAGGATCCCAGGCAGGTGCACGGTCCTTTTTGCACTCTCTTCTTCACAGGAGACCCTCAGTGTTCTTAAGCCAAGCATCACATGGCAAACCAAAGCCTAACCAAGCCAACGGGACTACAGATGAAGCCATGACAAGCACAGGGACCAGATGTCCCAGCCTCACCTGGCAGCATGGTGGCCTGTATCATGATGACCCATGACAAGAGTCCTGGGTCAGTGATACTGATTCTGAAAATCTGCCCCTGGAGTCCTGTCCAGAGCAGGTCCTGATACTCAGGAGTGCAACCGCGCCTCAGCCAACACCGGGGGCTCCCCGGCTGCCAACCACCCTTCCCTATGCTGGGTGGCTGTGCCCTGAACTCTGCAGATGACCCCAGTCTCAGCCCCTCTTCTCAGCTCACCCTGGACCCCGGACTCCAAGACTGCCTGACCCACATGCACCCCAGTGACTGACAGCAGGCTCAGCACATGACACAGGCTTGAGCAGCGCTAGCTCTTGCTGGGATGACTGCAGCAGCATTTGGAAGGAGCAGCATTCTTTCCCTTCTTAAAAGCTGCTATGGCATCGCTGGAGGCAACCACAGGGCAGGGAACGGGTTGGAGACAGAAGTCCAGCTGAGGGACCTAGGCCACAGCACCTGAATGCAGGCCGGCCTGGACAGGTGTGCAAGCCATTGGCTTTCTTATTTTTTGCATGCATGCAGCTTAAAGAAAGCGAGGAGCAGCCAATCTATCTATGACCAACGTCCTAGTCCTGTAAGGCACAGGGGAACAGGAAACCTTGCTGCTCCACAGTGCGGGGACGTGGGGAATGGATTACATCTTGAGAAAAGACCCAGCACTGCTCCTTATTCCTCAAACCACACGGACCCAGGCCCAGCCCCGCTGAGACAGGAACAGCTGCATCTGTGCCAGGGAGCAGGCCTGGGACCTGGCAGGCTTTGGGACTCCGCTGTCACCCTACTGCCGCAAAGAAGGACCTGGCAGGGCGCAGACGCGGCTCACCTCTTATAGGCAGAGTGGTCGTTCTTGACACTGCACTTCATGTTCTTCAGCTCATCCAGGACAGCGAACATGTTGATGAACTTGCCCAGCGTCAGGAGGTAGGCCTCCGACACGAAGTCCTTCCTCCGCTCCGCGTGGCACAGCCGCTTCACTTCGCTGCAGAACCGCTCGATGGCCTTGCGCTGCAGGAGGACACAGCAAGCGCATGAGGCGGGGTGGTCCCTGGGCAGCCTGCTGTGGTCTCTGCCGGCCACAGGTCAAGGCTGCCCCAGGGCATGCCGGGAAGGGCATACCAGGTAGTCTCTCTGACAGAAGCACTTAAATCCAAAGCTGATTTTGAGAGGGGAGCTTGGAACCTGCCTCAAGGGATCAAAATCAATGAACTCACTCTGTGCACATTTGCTGCAAAGTACTTCGCCTTATTCATCTTTGTTGCCCCAGTCCTGTCACCAGGGTTGGCACTATATAGTAAGGAGAGAGAGGAACCAATGGAGGGGCATCCAGGCAAAGAGTGCCACTCACCCACTGCTCACTGGGCACCTACTGGGTGCCAGGCACCACTCTGGGCCCTACTGTCAAGCAAGGAGAGAAACGGGCAAGCACACCACACACTGCTTTAAGGGCTCTGTTTCTGTGCCCTTCACAAGGACAGAGAAAGATTCTCTCCGTCAGGTTGTTGTATGCGTTATGGGAAAAATAAGGGATGGGGCTGGGAAGGCTGCAAGGAGCGAGCCCTCTCAGGAGAGAGAGCAGGGAAGGAACTGTGACAAAGTGACTTGTAGAGGAGAAGGGTTTGAAAGAGGAGGAGCTACACGCAGACATAATGAGGGAAGCACACATGCAGGGCCACGGTTCTGGGCACGATGGGGGCACAGGGAGCGAGGGCCTGGGTCGGCCTGCATGCAGGGCAGCAGCTGGAGCAGGGCCCAGGGCTGGGCTGCGACTCCTGCAGGCGCCTGTGAGCATGCAGACTCTGAGTGAGGGGACTGGAGAGACACAGAGGCCCTGGAACAGGCAGCATGGACTGCAGTGTGATTCTCAAGGGTCACAGTGGCTGCAGAAGTAAGCTCAGGGGTTGGGGGACACATAAGCAGGAGATGAGCTATGAGGCCGCCGCACTTAAGGGAGTTAATGGAAGATCGGGTAAGGCCACTCCTAGAGGAAACGAAGACCTACGTCCACACAAAAACTCGCACACAAATGATCACTTTTTGTTCCTCACAGCCCCAAAGTGGGGAAAACCCCTAACAAGTGATACACACTTGTAATTCCAGCACTCAGGCAGCTGAGGCAGGAGGATCACCTCAAGTCCTAGGCCAGCCTGGGCCACACAGTGAGTTCAAGGCCTGCCTGAACTACAAAGGGAGTCCCTGTCTCAAAAAAATCAACCAACTGAAGAACAAAGGGGAGAAACAAACCAAAATGCAAACAGAATATAGCACAAGTAGAAAAGTATGAAGATGAAATATAGGAAGTAAAGCCATGTTGTTATGTTGAGCTGTGGGGGACTCACGTCAATAATTTCTGACATTGCCAATTAAACAGAAGACCCAATGCTATTATGGGCTTCTGTACTCTTTTAGAATATTTTGCTGAGTTTACACACCTATAATATTCAACAACGGAACTTAAAAAAAAATTGGGGTATAACTATGAATGTCCATTTTGTATCTGTGTATTCAAAGTGGTTGGGATAGATATATAGTTGCATTCTCTTAATGAATAGAATGATTTTTTCTAATGGTGTTTGTAAGTAGGATCACAAGTCTGCATCTTGTACAGCAATTAACCACTAAGAAGAATATATGCAGTGTATTATTTGTTGAAACTGTACTTTCGATTTGATTTGAAACTGTCTCATTGCTATATGTTTATCAATAAAACTTTGAAAAGAAAAAAAATAAAAATAAAAATAAAAATAAAAATGAGTAACAAAGAAAAAAAAAACAGAATATAGCACAGACAAAGAACGACATGGAATTCAATCATAAAATGGAATGAAATTCTGACACGGGCTACAATATGGGTAGCCGCAGAAGCGTTATGCTACTGAAAGGAGCTAGATGCAAAAGGCTGCAGACTGCAGGACTGTGCTTACGGGAAACACCCAGACAGGCCACGGCATAGAGACCTACTGTAGACGAGCCTTTCCTAGGGGTAGATGATGGCCAGGTGATGGCCAGAGCTCCTCCCAAGGGTGAAGACGGCACCACAAAACTGACTGCAGCGATGAGCGCCTCATCCTGCGAGGCTAGTGAATGCTGCCGCACTGTTCATGCTAAACGGGTCAAGGAGTAGAGCGTAAATGGTATCTCAATAAAGCAGCTGTGTGGGGGGCGGGCAGGGGGATTCCACAAGCTGGAAGAGGCCACTGCAGTGATCCAAGAACGAGCAAGAACAAGAGAAAGAGAGACAGGGCCGAGCGAGAAGGCGGGAACGCCGAGCTGTGAGCTCCTCTCCACGCCCACAGGCTCAGGTCCCTCCAGCCAGGCTTCCTTCCCTGTGAGGACCAAGCCAGGCCATGCAGGCTCCTGCCAACGTCGAGTCCATTAAGCTTTCTGTAGTGATGGAAAAGTCCCCGGCCACCACTGTCCAACGCACAGCCGCTCATCACGTGGGCCGCTGGGCACTTAGGATGTGCCCTACACATTTGAGGACCTGAACTTTAATTCTATGTGATTTTATTGTCCAGAGCCGCATGTGGGGAGGGCTTTAATCCTGAACAGCACAGTTCTGAGCCATCTCACTAGCTTATGCGCAGCCTCTGACATCTCCCCTCTCTTGGACCTGCTTCCCGAGGAGAATTGAGACCTGAGGAAGGCAGGCAGTGGTGCTAAGCGCAGCAGCTGTGGTGTGCAGAGCCAGCTCACTCTGCAGTGGCTCGCCCTAGCTGTCTCTGTGCCGACCTCCTGTTGTTGTCCCCACTGATCTGCGAGGCAGACGCCAGCCCAGGGAAACACCCGGAGATGTCAGGGAGCTGAAATGGCTTGCAGGGCACGGTGAGCGGCAGAGTTGGGCTCCAACTCGGCGGAATTCCTGATCCACGGCTATGTGGTGGCTTTGTGGCTCCATCACCCTGTCCCGTCTCCCACCTACCAGACAGCAGCCCCATGTAGGATGCAGGGTAGACGCCAGTGCTCCAGTCTCTACATGAAGCTCAGCTCCCCAGAGGGACATGCAAAGGGTATGTCCGGTGCAGCATGACGTTCACTCCCCCACCCTGAGCTACAGATGGGCCTACCTCTAAGTGTTCACCCCATGGCCTCTGCAACTTTCAAAGTGACCACAATAGTGACCTGTTCATGATCTGCTTCTCCTGTGATTTCCGGTCCGGTCAATCAACTCCCTTCCATGACACTCCCAGGTACGCCTGGCCCTCTCTTTTTGCCCCCTGTAATGACTGCCCTTCCAGTTCCCGACCGGCCCCCAGCTGTCCTCCCTCAACCTCTTGCTGTCCCCCAACTGTCATCTGTGTGCCACACAGCAGTCAGATGTCATAAAACCTCAGATCAGATCAGGCCACCAAAAGCTGCTGGGGACTTCCCAGGCTGCTGGAATAAAACCTCACAGCCCTGTAGGGCCCCATGTAAAGGCTTCCTGTCTCCTCCCCGACACCCCCTTCCACCACACCCTCACGGCTGGTGCTCTGCAGCCTGCCTAGCGGCCTTCTGTTTCCTGAACACACTGAGCCTCAGGCCGCAAAGCCTTGGCCTCCCTCGCTCTGCCCTTTCCCTGGAGCTCTTCCTCCTGACCATCACACGTCCTCTCCTCTGACACACACACATACCTCGGCTCTCAGACACTTTCTAAGAGGCCATCCCTGATGCCACACCGCTCTGTAGACACACTACCACCCAGGCCTGCTGTCAATTTTATTTTACATGCAAACCTTGCTATGCCCTGGAAATTTATTGTCCATTTTTCACTGCCAGTCTCTCCTTCTGCCCAAAATCTACCAACATGGTCCCTAGGATGTCTAATGGTTGAAAAATGTGGTACAGGTTTAAATTTCTAAAATTTATTGCAGTAAAAGACACACAGTCATTGATTCCCTTCAAAATCCTCCCACTTGTCTCAGCTCCACTCATCACATCGTTCTTGCCACTAACAGGAGCAGCTCTGGAAGTCCTCTTCACTGGGTCCTTAGTTGTTCCACTATGTTTGCCACAGTATCCTGAACTGACACAAAATTTTTGTCCTTCCTGGTCATTTTGACTTTGAGAAAGGGCCAGAGGTAGCATGGTGCCAGATCCATGAACACGGCGGAGGAGGACGCACTGTCACCTTTTCACAAGCCCGCCTTTCTACTGGAGGACACTCGGTAGCAATATGCACCACTTATCTTATCATATTTCGTAAAGACACTCAGGAAAGGGAACTCCAGAGCTGCTTTGGAAAGTGACACAACCATAAGGTGCCTGTCTGTCCAGCACACCCAGTGGTGAGTGTGCAGCTCTTAAAAAAGAACTGCTATTATCTTCAAAGGAACTGCTCAGATTACAAGATACAGGCACGCAAAATGGATCAAATAATTTCTGTACCATTTTTATCGTTTTGTTCTTATTATTATTCTCTTTAAAATAAAAAAAAAAGAAATTAGCTATGCAAAGATTAAGAAACATAGTAATGGTTGCTGGGTGAATAAATAACCCAGCACAATGCACAAGCTCAGCCCCAGGACTGGAAGTAGGGATGTCTTCCAGGTCTCCCAGTGCAGACCCACCCTGGCCAGCTCACCTGGAAGTACATGAACTTCATGAGCTTGGTGACCTCTGGCTCCAGCACCTCCACGGTCTTCTCATAGATCTCCACCCGGTTGGGCTGCTCGTTGCACTTGACCTGTGGGCATGGAGAGTCTCACAATCCTGGGTGGCCCAGGCAGGCCTCGCTAACAAGGCCCACTTTATTCTCTTGTGGGCTTCACTGGGGATGACAGCTGCCATGGCTGGCCTGGCAGGAGAAGCTCTGGTAGCTCTGTCAGGGGGCAGAAGTAACCCTCAGGGACCGGCCTCAGAAACACCAGCCAGGACAGGACCAGAGCCCGCCTCCCTCTTTCTGCTGTGCATGGATCCTGCAGAGCAGATCGATGGGATCCACATGGATTCCCTCCCTTGTTTTTTTTTTTTTTCCCTAGTCCTGTTCTGCTGTGCCTGGAGATTCTAGGCAGAGAGGAATACCCTGCTGTGAATGTGGCTGGTACAAAGTTCCCCTGACTGTCCCCAAGGCAGTGCTGACCAAGTAAGGATGTGTCGTGAAGAAACCCATTTTTCCTGCCCAGGGGTTTTCTACAAGCAAGGACAAGATAGTCACAGTAGATGTTCCTATAGCACACACCCAAGACTGCCCACATCCGATGGGACCTAAACACCACCACAGGCAGGCCTAAGGAGAATTGTTATAAATGCTTAGAAATTCATGAACTGGTAGCATTTGAATAATATTCATCGGTGGATGATTAAACAGATAAATGATACAATTATATGTCCTTATGAACTGACAGAGGGAATGAGATAGAGCTACACACATTTTCACCATCCACAGGTGAATGAATTTACAAAACAGCACGTCTAATCTGATCACAAAACTATGCCAGAGTGTTTGCACCTAATTCAAACCAGGAACTTGGAAAGGGTACAAGGCCAGCTGCTACCAGCAGTGAGCCTTTAGAACTAGGACTTGGAGGAAGTGGGCGGGGAACTGCTTCTGTTTACTTTGCACACCGATGGCTTACTGATTTTGTCACAGTGGAATCCAACAGTTCTAGGACAATGACAGTGATGATGGGAATAAAAATATCTCTTCCAACTTAAAGAAGGAGGCGGAATAAAGAATTCAGTTGGAAAAAAAAAAAAGAAAGAACAATATAAAACAGAATCATACATTTATAAAGGAGATAACTGACAAGGTAATATTTATGCCAGGGAAAAGGCCAGAAAAATTCGTAGCCAAGTGCTCAGCGTGATCATCCCATTGCGGAAGGCAGGCTTGGGGGTGGGTACGGAGGTCTAGGGTTTATGTTACACACTTGTGCAAGGGGCTGGGGATCATGCACAGCACCTGAAATAAAACACTGCTTCTACTGTATACAAGGGAGGGTACTTTTAATCCTTGGCATTGTCATATGTCTCATGGGAAGTCCTCAGAATGTCCTCCACACCCTTCCTTGGGTCAGAGGCCCTGATTTATTCCTGGCCACAGGGAGGCTCAGTTGACACTGTGGAGCGGGGCAGGAAGTGGCCACACCAGCGGGAGGGTCTCACCTGGGGGATGGCCCGGGAGCAGCTGCGCCAGGTGTACAGCATGACCGCATACTCGTGTCCTTCTTCCAGCATCTCGTTCTGAAAGAGCAGTGTGGCTCAGAGGGAGGAACCAGGCCTCGAGCCAGCAAGCACTCACCACCTGCACCCGTGCCACTCAGTGTGGGCTCCACATCTCCATGGCCTGGGGGTGCATGCAGAGATACCAGGCAGGCCCCAGGGCCCTCCCTGGGCACAACCCCAAATCCCCAGATAAAATCACATGACCTTCAGTTTGAGAAAAGCAGACCTAAATCATCCCCCTCAGAGGCCCCAAACCAGGCCATATTTTCTGAAGAACACAGATGACCATTTCAGGAAGAACGAGGCAGGTCTGTGTGTGCCCACAGCAAAAGGTATCCCGGAGATAGTGGAAGAGAAACCGAACTTGGGAAAACCATACTGCAGTGGGTAGGTCAAAAACCAAAAGAAACAACCATAATTATGCTGCTTATTATGATGTAGGGGACAGCACTGATGGGGCTCGATTATTTTGTATCACTCTATACGTAGTATAAAGTAATACTACTTCATATATAAAGTAATGCTAATTTAATATACTGCTATAGTAGGATAATAGTACAATAATGTAATGTGTAAAGTACTATAATAGATAATATCCTATCGTGATATAATACGGGAGCGTGATGTCCACACTTTCAGTCTAACAGTCCGTATTTCTATTCTATGAGCAGGAAAATAATGTCAACTTTTAAAAAGCAGTAAGTAGAGCCAATGGAAAAACAACAGCATGAAAGTCAACCTGGGGGCCGGGGAGATGGCTCAGTAGAACAAGTACTTGCCTGGCAAGCACAAGGGCCTGAGTTCAATCTCCAGTTCCGCAAAAAAAAAAAAAAAAAAAAAATCAACCTGAGAAACACAGCGATTTTGTCCCCAGGGCCAAATCTTGCAGTCAAATAAGCCCTAAGCTCACAGCCCACACACTGGAGCAGAAATCCCAGTCTTTTCACTTCATAGCCCTTCAGTCTACAGTAAATCGTGTCCTGTAACATTCCACACAGAAAAACGTCAGGATCCAGTCTCCATGAGGAACACGAGGGGCCTGGCAGCCTTAGCCTCAACCCAAGCACCCACCCCCTGTGGCTGCGTGACAGCGCGTGGCACCTCCACACCGCACAGCGTTACTTATCTGAGAAAGGTAATGAAATGCTGACCCAGAGGCCGACCACAAGAACTCTGGAGTCGCCACAGTAAGTGAAAGAGGCCAGACACAAAAGGTCACACACTGTGGGGCTCATGTAGTTGTAATTTCCAGGACAGAGAAATCCACAGAAACAGGAAGTGCATCAGTGTTGTTGGAAGAAGCAGGGAGAAGAGGACTTGGGAGTGAATGCTACAAGGTCGGGGGCATCAAGGTCGTAGTGGAAACTAAATGGTTGGGATGCGTTATGCTTTGTGTCTGGGTGTTCCTCCAAAGCCTGATGTAGTCTCGTGGGGTGCCTTCTAGCATTTGTGATTAATTCCTGATCCGATGCTGGGATTATGGGTATGATGGTTACACCCACCCTGGGGCAGATGGCCTGAATACAATGTGGGGAAGGGAGGGAGGCTTGCTGGCTGCCGCAGCTGTTACTCCTCCCTTTGCTCTTTGCTGTTTTTCTGCCACCTGAACTGTTGCCCTCTGCCATGTGCCACTCTGCCCTGAGCCAGCTGAGTATGGACTGAAACCTCCACTAATGGTGAGCAGTAAATCTTGCCTTCCTCAATTTGGATGTCAGGTATTTTGTCCCTGCAATGAGAGAAAAGTAACTAAGACAGGACGGTTGTTTAACATGGTGAATATGCTAAAACTCCTGAATTATACAGTTTATTCTATTTATTATTATTTCATGTATTTGGCACAAGGTCTTACTACACAGCTCAGATTCGTAGTGATCTTCCTGTTCTAAGCCTCCCTGGAACTGGGATTACAGGCATGAGCCACTATGACCGGACAGGTGGTCAGCTCAGCGTGCCTGGGGGGTAGGGCTGGCACAACGTGGTGCTGGAGATTGAACCCTGGTCCCTGCGCTCACCTAAGAGGGACTTAGTCCACTGAGCTATCTCACTGGCTCTCAGTTTAAATCATTTTATGTTATAGAAAGTATATTTCCAAAATATACTAAAAATACTTGCAGACCACCTCTCTTTGTAAATATTTGTATCTATATAAGAATGAAGTTTTATTGATTAAATTTTAAGTCTGTATATTTTGATCTTTCCCAATACTTTGTGAGGAAAAGATCTGATGTAATTCAGAGGTCACGACTTTGGGCTGTTCTATTTTCTGTAGCAAATGTCACTGACAAGTCCCAGTTTCAATTCTTAATTTAGAGAACTTTAAAAATCAGTGACATGTTGTCCCTGACATCAGGAAGAACCAAGACCAACCCATGTGTCTCCCGCTGTTGTCAGAACACACGTCGGAAAGGGGAAGTGACAAGAACATACAAAACAGGAGTCTGTTTTTAGCAACATGCTGCCCACGGCAGTTTCAACTCATTCATTCAAAGAGTGCCTCTCTGGGCGCTCACAGGCCTGGGCTCTGTGCTGGACCCTGCGCATGGGGCAGTGAACACGGAGCATGCAGGCTTTTCCCATAGACTCTGGCAAAATTAGCCTGGAATAAGAGGCCAGGATGGTGGAGCAGAAAAAGCCTCGGGTGGGTACTCAGGAGACCTGAGTTGTCGTCCTGGCTGTTCCTGGGCTCATCTCTGAACTTGTGTCACAGCTTCCTTATTTAGACATAAGTCAGGGAAGGTATGCAACCCCTTGAAGCCAGAGTAAGGCCGTACACCTTCCCACTGCGCTCTCCAGAAAGGTACACAGCCCTGTAGGCACCAACACACCCATGTCCTGACCCTTCCAGAGATGCCACACACAAATCCCCTGCTTGTGCCTTTCAGCTGAAACTCGGGAAGGCACAGAAAAGTCTGCATCTTCTTCACTTGGATTGGTTCTACTTTGGGGTCCCCTCCCCACCTCACCGCTGACTGAGAATGGAGGACAGAAAAAGAGGTCAGGACTGGGTGTCAGCCCCACGTGTCAGGTCAAGCGCCCTGACTTGCTACCTGTAGGAGCCTGGGCTGACTGATTGTTAACTTCTCCACGTCTCAGTTTTCTCATCTCTAAAATGGATGCAATGACTCCTTTTGCAAATCACAAGGCTAATGCAAGGCTCTAACAATATACAGGAGAACGTTACATATCATTTGGGGGTTGGTTTTGAGACAAGGTCTCATTACGTACGCCACATACATTTTAAAGTGTGGCACATACTTCATTATTCTCATGTGGGTCACCACCTCCTTCATCAAACTTTCTCTGAACCCCCAAGGCCTCCTCAGGAACACAGAACTTGAAACTTTTACCATGACATTGACTGCATTTTTGTCTCAAAGAGCAGTCTACATTTGTCACTTGTCAGCTGTTTGACTCTAAGTTTCTTTACCTTTTAGTGCTTTGGTTGTCCCCATCTGTGAAATGGGCACTATAATAGAAATATCTCACAGATTTTATGTGAGGATTAAATAAGACAATGAACTGAATAAATATTAGGTGTTTGGCAAGGGATGAGCACACCCGCTTCCTGCTTGGCTCCCTGGGAACCGGACATGGCCCTGTTCCCTTGGCTACTCCTCCGTGCAGACGCCGCCCTCTCTAGGCAGGCGCTAGTTAATGACTACATGAGCCAGGTTTGCTAAGGCCAGGTCATAGGAGACACCTCACTTCCTGAGACAGAGGGGTGGTGAAACCACAGGCAGAGGCTGTGAGTTAAGCCCCGAGGGAGGGGCACGCTTATGCCCCAAGGACGCATCCTGAGAAGGACAGAAGCAGCTCCACCAAGTCAAATTACCAGGTCATTTCAAAGTCAAGGCCACTGGGGCTGTCCTTTGAGGAACACTTTGCTTTATTAAGAGAGAAAAATTTCATAGACAATATGCTCAGTAATCTGTGAAACACAAGGCAAGCCAGGCTCTAGGCACATGCTAACCCCAAAAGCTTTTCTAGCTCAGGGGAGTGAGGAGTGGGGATTGAGGGGGGCCTCACATTGGGCAGGTTTGCAAAGCTGGAGGTCAGTGGGGTGCAGCTGCCCAATGCACAAAGAGGAGGTAGGGCAGGGCTGCATCCTGGCTTAGAGACAGCTCAGCTGAGGGACTGCAAGGGCTTTAGGATTCAGGCTCCAGGGTGAGAAGACAGCCCAGGCCCTCCCCGCCCCAGCAGCAGCATGTCTGCACATGCGCACCACACTTACCATGCTGGAATGGACCGTTGCCTGCTCAATGTACCTTGCAATGCCCGTGACAAATGCATTCCTGTCCTCGAAGTTCGTGTCAAAGTTAGCCTGTGGAATTAGAGAACACTGGTTGTTGCAGAACAGGTCCTGGGCGATGGCTGGGTGTCCAGGAAGCAAATCACTGCCAGCAAACACCACTGGCTCTCAGGGTAATCACAGCGACCTCAACCCTCATCCTGGCTGCATGTGCAGGAGCAGGCTGAGCCCTTCAGCCCTGCAAGGCCCAGAGTCATCAGCTGCATCTCAGGAGCAAATGCTGATGGACACAGGTCCACAGCTGCTCAAAGTGAAGACGCTCGTCGCTTTGATCCATTCATTCAGAAATACCCAGGCGAGGGTGCAGATACGCATGGACATGGATCATCCCTGCAGCATTTGTACGATTAAAAACATTGGAAACAACCCAAATGTCCTTCGAGGGCAAAGGGCTGAACAAGCACATCCATACAATGGTCTTACAAGTACCATGAGGTGAGTAAGCAGTGTGGAATCAGTACAGTATTTGTATAGAAAAATATTGGTAATAATTTTTTTAAAATCCAAGTTATAAGCAATACACATAACAGAAATCTTTTCTTGGTAAAAAGGATATGAGGAGATATATATATTTACCAAATACACATATATATTTACCAAATATATATATTTGATTATAAAAGGTATGTGTATATACAGACAGAAAGGGGTATGGTTACAAGGATAATTTTATTTGTTGTATTGTACTTTTCTGTATTGTCTGTACTTTAAAAAATTACATAATTAGAATTTTAATCTGGGTTAGAAAATGTAAATAAATCCAATTTATGAATGGAAGTGCCAAGCATGTGCCGAACAATTTGTTACATATGACTAAAATTTGTATCTCTGCATTTAGTCACATTCAGCAGTCTAAGGGCCATCCAGAGGTCTCTCCGGCCACAGCATCTGGTGGGCTCCCCAGACAAGGAGCTCCGCGTGCCCGCCCAGCTGCATCGTGCCCTCCCCGCCTCGCCCCACCAGGGCCACGCTTTGTGCAGTCTGACGCGCTGATCACAAGATCTGCTCTCAGGCAAAGGCTCCCAGCTGTGACCCACTTCCCTGAGCTGTGGCTGCGGTGCGGGGCCCTGGCGCTCCCCTCACACACTTGGAGGAGAGCTATGACCCCGGCAGGCTCTAGGGGGTTCTACACTGCAGTGTTTCTCGCATGAGGTCAGAGCTTCCACACCGTGGCTAGTGCAGCAGTCATACGCTTGCAGGCGTCTGGGTCAGAACCGAGCAACGGGTCCTCCCTGGGGAAAGTCAACAGTCCTGGTGACATTTCTCAGCTCATCTACGCTTTAAACTGGGCAACTGAGTCCACTGGGGACCCCATCAGCTCTTGACCTCTGTGCGGCAGCTCCCCCCACAGCCCACGGGGCACACATCTCAGGCCCCTCGGATGCCCGGGGCACACATCTCAGGCCCCTCGGATGCCCGGGGCATACATCTCAGGCCCCTCGGATGCCCGGGGCACACATCTCAGGCCCCTCGGATGCCCGGGTGCCCCGCGGGCCCTGCTGTCTCCATACCTGGTACATGATGGAGGACGGCGGAGGCTCAATGCATGGCTGCTGGTCGGGGAGCGGTAACTCCTCCAGCAGGTCCACGTTGGACAGCGCATCCTCTAGGGTGACGTGGGTCGTCATGGCTGCCGTCTCTGTGTTCCGCACTGAGAAGAGAAGGACAAAGAAGGACTGCAGGGGTCTGCAGAAATTTCTTTTGACCTCACCCTGTCCAAGCTCCTCCTGGAAGGTAAAGGGAGATAGGACGCACTCAAGCCACTTCCGCCTGGCACTCTGTCAGAAACCTGCACATCTGATATCTGAAAAGCTTCCTTCGGCTAAGCTTCACCGTGACCCTCTGAGTGACAAGCAGGCTGAATTCTGTCCCATAACAGATGAGGTTGTTTCTGTGATATCTCCACTCGTGTGGCCAAGGGCAAAAGGACCTCAACTAACACTGGACACGAGGGACATGGATTATAGTTCTCCACTTTCTATTCTTCATATGAATATTAATCAGTTTCACTCTTACATGATTGCACAGCATAAATATTCATGATCACAAAAGCCAGAGCTTCCGTATTATAGGCTAATTAAGCTGGGACTAAAAGAATTCAACTCCTGAGAATCAACTTTGTCTGTAAAAACTGGAAGGGCCACGATGGCTTTCTTTAGACTGGCTTTCTTTTGTGAGTGACACAGAACCAATCAGCACTCAATGGATATTTTTGTGTCTTGGACCACTGCAAACACAGCTGCTTGGACGAACATTGCCAGGCACTGAAGCTAAATGATTTGAACAAAGCATTTGATCAACTCAAGCTAATTGCTATTTTAAGAATTCGGCCGCCAGCAAACAAAATATTCATTTTTTCCCCCAAACATGTGAAGCGGTGATTAGAAACTCACAATGCATAATTTAAGTTATAAATCAGGTTGCCAGGAATTCCCTCCAAAATGCTATCCTAGAAGTTATATACCTTGATTAATACGCAATGGAATTAGACATCAATAATACAAATAACAGCCAAGAAAATCTATTCCTTTGAAAATGTGTAAAACATGCTGAGCAGCTAGCTGGGTGTGGTGGTGGATGTCTGTAATTCCAGCACTCAGGAGACTGAGGCAGGAGAATCATAAATTCAAGCTCGGCCTGGGCAACTTAACAATTTTCTTTTTCTATTTTTTTTTTTATTTTAGGGAAGGGTCTACCAGGTCTCACTACTAGATTGACTCATAGTGATGTGCCTGTTTACACCCTCCTAAGAGCTGGGATTACATTCGTGGGCCAGCACGCCCAGGGGTGGGGCCGGCACAGCGCGCCCAAGGATGGAAGGCCCGGCCCCTGCATCTGCTTGCAGGTGCTTTAATCCACTGAGCTATTTGGCGGGCTCTAGCTTAGCAATTTTCAGAAAGCCATCTCCAAATAAAAAAGGGCTGGGGCTGCTTCTCAGCACCAAGTCCCTGGGTTCCACACTCAAGACCACACAAAGGTTACTCGTTGCTTCAGAGGAATTCAAACCTAAATGCTAACAGATTTAGAGCTGAAAGACAGCCCTCATGTTTTCAGCACATTTAGCAAAAAATAAAGACACAGAATTCAATGAGCTTAAGGTTCCATTCAAAAATCTAAAAAGAGAAAAACCAACCCAAAGAAATGAGAACACAGGGACTGACCATTACAAAAGCAAAAATACAGGAAGGAAAAACGAACGCATAAACTAGGCAACAAGGTAGAACAGTAAAGGCGAATGCCAACAGAAAGCTCAACTGAGCTTCACAGGAAGATGGGCACCATAAGGACACTGGTGGCGCACAGCCTCCTCCCAGGGCAGGGAGATGCGGCTGCAACACCTGTGAATGTCACCCACTGTGCCCCGCCTGTTAAGGGAAGCCAGGACAAAAGAACCATTCATCTGCAAACATGGCCCAGGGGCTGTGGGAAGCTCAGAGGGCTGCAGAATGTACCCAAGGTCATGCTGTGTCTCCCTTAGAATTTCCAGTAGTGCCAAAACCAGGAAGGCAGCTGGGGCAGAGCCTGCAGTTGCCCCAAAGCAGCGAGCCACCAGCTCCTAGCTACACTTCACTGCCTCCTCGCACACCCTCCTGGTATGCGCTGTGGCCCTGGCACAGGCCACACCCGCTGATGCAGCCTGGCTTCCGGTGGCTTCCAGCCCCCTCTACACCTCATCTCCTTCCTCTTCTCTCTCTGGATGTCTAAGTGAGGTATTCAGGTTGGCGGCCACACCACCACGAACTATTAAGAGTCTCTTTTTTTCTTGTCTTACTGTCAAGTGCATTTCTAGGAGCCCCACTAATTCTCTTCATTCTATTTAATTATAATTATAACACAACTTACATGTCTTGAGGCCTCTTGTGTGTCAAGCACTGTGGGAGACACTCAACTATCTCAATCTGAAATCAACCCTGTAAAGGTAAGAAGTGACTCTTCTCCTCTCATTTACAAATAAGCAACAAAAGCTCAGGATTTATCTCCAAGGTCAAGCACCAGCAAGTGGGGGAGCGGGGCTGGAGCCCAAGTATGCCTGGCTTGGGCCACGGTCACCTTCACTGCCACACACTTCCTCCCGAGAGCTGGGACCGCAGTGTGAGCCTGTGCTCAACACCGCGAGGTCTGCGTCATGCCCAGCTCTGCATGAGGTGCACCTTAGCAGTTCGCGGCTCCGCTCATGCCAGACCTTCTCAATGCTACGACGACTGAGCTCCGTGCTTAACGCTGGCAAGACTACACCTTTAGAAAATCTCCTACTTTGCTTGCAATAGAGAAATCCAGATTAAAATTACACAGAGATACCACTTCCTACTGGCTAGACTGGCAAATGTCCAAAGGGTCAACTGTACCCGTCACCAGCAAGGCTGCACAGTTAGTCAGGCCCTCGTGTCTCGATGGTGGAGATAGTCGGCAGCACAACTCCCATGAAGAGCGATCTAGCAGTATCTAATGAAGCTTTAGCAGCGTTCTACCTGCTCACCAGCAACCCCACTCCTAGGTATTGAGGACTCTAGTAAAAACGCATCTGTACAAGGCCACCGCGGCAGCAGCAGGTGCAGCTCAGGAACTGAAAAAGTCTATGCGCAGAGATGCAGCCCCCTCCCGTGACGTACCAGGAGCAGGAAGATGCAAAGACACCTGCCTTGACCTGGGCGCTGAGTCCAAGATGGTCCGCACAGCACCCCTCCTTTATTTAAGAAAGGGGGCAGTGTGCGTGCACACACACATGCATCTCCTATTGAAAAACGGCCAACGGCCAGGCGTCACGGCACCACTCGCCATCCAGCACTGCAGGGGGCTGAGGCCGCAGACTCACAGTGAGGGCTGAGGACGCAGCTCACAGCAGAACAGAACCCTTGCCCAGAATGTACTAAAAGAAAAAGCAGCCCAAACAGCGAAGGGTTGTAGATTTGACTTCAAAATGGTAAAAAAGGGCCGGCCAAATAGCTCAGTGGATTACAGCACCTGCAAGCAGGCGCAGGGGCTGGGGGTTTGAACCCTGGGCCTGCCTGCTGGCCCCACTCCAGGGCACACTGAGACAGCAATTGAGACTGGGTGTGGTGGCGCACACCTGTAATCCCAGCTCTTGGGAGGCTGTAAGCAGGCAGATCACTAGGAGTCCCATCTAGTAGTGAGACCCTGAACACCCTGTAGACCCTTCCCTAAAATAAAAAAAAAAGTGAAAATATTTTCTATCATTACAAAATGATACTTCAAATTTCCATATAATCGCCAAAGCAAAAAGTAAAACAAAATAAGTGAAGGTATGCGTATGTCAGCCGCTGGAATAACCACACATAAAGGACCTATTCCAAGTGATATTGTAGCTCATTTATGTGATGGTAGCTTGCCTGGGGGACAAATCTTAAGAACAGCAAAGACAGCTGCAAAGTACAATCTGCCATCTCCAGTAACATACTGATATAGCACTGAAATTTATTTATTTATGGTATTGAAGATCAAACTCGGGACCTTGTACTTGCCAGGCAGGCACTTATGCCGCTGAGCTATCTCCCAGCCCTTATCACTGTAATATTAATGTTTGGATGAACTGCAGGGTAAAAGAAAGGCATAATTATGGAATAATTATGAGATTATGAGATTATAATATAATCTCACCAAGCACTGGTGAGATTGCAGTCAGGCACTCCTGACACAGCAGAAAGGAGATGCAAAGGTGACGCTGAAGAGAACAAATGAAAACCTAACGTAGTCCAGCCACAGTGGCACACACCTGCAATCCCTGGACCCTGGAAGGCTGACGCAGGATGACCACAAATTTAAGCCCAGTCAGCAACTTAAACATGTCTCAAGAAAAAAAAGGGGGGTTGGGGAGCCAGCTCAGTGCAGAGGCTTTCGGCTCAGTCTCCAGTACCAGAAAAACAGAATAAAAGCAACTAATACAGATAGCCTCCAATTGAGGATGGTTTAATTTGGTATCTTGCCCTGTAGGGGTCCAAAAACAATAGGCATTCTGTAACAACCACACTTTGTACTTGATCTTTTCCTGGGTTTATGATGGGTTTACCTGGACAGAGTCCCATTCTAAATCAGGGAGGATCCGCAGTCCTAAATATGGATTTGTAGTATCAATAGAAACATGTAATGTGTTTTATTTTTAAACATATACATATATATACATTTTATTTATTTATTTATTTATTTGGCAGAACTAGGGATTGAACTCAGACCCTTGCACTTGCCAGGCAAGTGCTTATTCTACTGAGCCATCTCCTCAGCCCCAATGTTTTTAAATATATACATCCATATATTTTAAATATACACACATGCATGTATGTAAGCTTACACATATACCTAGGTATATCTGTGTACAAACACATATATGTAGGTCCATGTAAGTGCATTTATATACACATATGTATATGTGTGTTATGTGTGTTTCTGTCTACTGAACGATCGGGAAATGATGACCAAGCCCCGGGCGCTGAGCATCATAGTGGTGAACAAACATCACTGCCTACTGAAGGAATCGCCCTGCCTTAAATCCAGATCTGGAGGAGCACAATAGCACTTAAGAAAGGCAAAACCACCTTGTTGAACCAGAAAGTGGGGAACTACCTATTCAGGTCACTGGAGCTGTGTCTGAGAGACCTGAGTCAACCTGAAGCGGCCCCTGCAGGCCAGAGAGCTGGACATGGTGGGCATCAATCGGTGTGACTGTAACGGACCAGAACAGCAAGCATCCCACGCACGAGATCACAAAGATACT